GTACATAAACTGCACGATTGAATGGTAAACACATTCTATCTTGACACATTCGGCCCGCCATTCTGCAAAGCTAGAACCGAATGTCCGTGGAAAACGATTGTACATCATCTCAACTTTTTCATTTGGCTCTGCATGTGCGTGTGTCCGATTGCTTTTTCGTTGGATTCCGTCGGCCAACTCTTCTTTTATTCACTTTCACGACGCCGACTGTGCCTCGTTGGATGCTGCTGCGGAAGATGAGTCGGTGTCCACCTCTTGACCCCTTCGAGGAGACTTCACTTGACTTTCACGTAAAAATGGATCTAATTAAGTATTTGGTGTAAGTCAATCCCACCAAAAACAGTGTCTGAGCTAATGTTCATTGGAATTCGCTCAAATGGGCTAAGTTGTCTTCTTCCCTATCAATTGGCGAACATTATCAAAACACTGTCGAATGCACTACTTATGTGCGTATTGAGTAGCTATCAATACTACTGGTAGATATTGAGTAATAGCTTCATTCAGCCTAGCCTATATAAAATGATAAGGTTGTAAGAAATGTAATCTCTTTATCTAACCTCATTACAAAAATTTGTAAAAGTTCTTCAGCAAATTGATACTATGTAGTTATTAATGTATACTAAACTACCATTGCTAGAAAATATAATAAATAACAAAATAATAATTATAGATCAGGTTGGGGTTAGCATATCGGTGCTAATAAAAAGTCTACGCTTGGCGCAAGCAAGTCATCGATACCATAAAATGACAAGTTTGATGAATGGTTTGACATTAAAGCCCTATTATATTATGCCGAAAGTGTATAAGATGTTATCTTCAACAGGACAGCGTATAAAGTGTATACGGGTTCCGATGGACGCTCAAAATAACACTCTTGCGATCACTTTCATTTAGTAAGAAAGTGTGAGTTAGTGATTCCTGAGGTTATGTAGTCACTTGATGATGCTAGCACGTTTAACTTGATGTAGTCGAGGCCTTTAAATATCAGAAAACTTGAGACCTGTATCGCATTTTTTGTAAAAGCTTTAAACCAACACAATATTACCAAAACAAACTTGCACTACAATAAATTGTTTATGGACTCGCAACTTTAAAATAACCCAA